AGCATCTTTATGCTTACCCTTGAAGAGGGTCTATTTCAGAAAATACTATTGTTCTCAGTAATTATAAATGCAACTGCCTGAAACAGTTCATAGAACATATTTACCCCTCTGATAGCATATGGCTCAAGCCACACCTAGGCGATATATGGCAGACGTTCTAAATCTTAACTCTCAATACTTGTATCTCACTCTGAAAAAGCCATCTGAAGACAAGTGAGCCTTCCATGCCTTAACAATTTTTCAGAAAGTGATAGGGCAGTAGTTTACAATCTGTTCCAGAGAAATCCTGTAAATCCTTTCAGAGGGAACACTACTGAAGCTGTTCAAGGGCTCAGAAGGTTTTATATTTGCTACTGTTCAGAAACGAATGCTTCTTCCCACTTTAAGAGACACCATAGGGGCTGTGGCCAAAAGGATTGTCAGAATGGGAGAGCTACGATATACACGGCAGAGATGCCTGGCTGCCCACCACAGACTGTTTGCTCCCTTTCCATAGCATACAGTGGTCCCTGCAAGCAGCTGCTTAGCTAGGCACTAGGACCGCCCAACACCAACTCTACATCAACTCCACTCCCATTCTACAGGCGCAAACCAGTCACATGCTCCCAACCACTCCATGGACCAGACCTAGCCTGTGGAATCCGAGTGGAATGACTGGTAATTTGACTCCTCCTCTTTCACTTTATTTTCCCTTTCAGGAGCAAGCCAGCTGGGCCGTCACCTGTTGTAGATGAGAGGAAAGGAGACAGAATTGCTGAGTCAACACCCTAGGAAGAGCCACCAGAGAGAGTTGCCTGATCAAGAAGAAATATTAAACACTGCAGGAAAAAGAATAAAATTTTGTGTTAAGACACTGAGTGCTGAGAGATTTAGTTAGAGGAGTTCATCCTCTCTGACCAAATAATAAAATTAATGTAAGTACATTTTAGTGGATCCTAGATTCTTGGAATAATGGAAGAGAAGCAAAAGGCAGTGAATGCTCAAAAAGTGCTATAATTTGGATCTTAAATGTTGTAGTTTGTGATCTTACAGATAATTTTTGTGCATGTAGAAATTAGAGATGGTATAGAAAATGTCCTGAAGCCCTAAAAAATCCATCCATCCACCCACCCATCCATCCATCCTTCCATCCATCCATTCTTCCATCCATCCATCCTTCCATCCATCCATCCTTCCATCCATCCATCCATCCATCCATCCATCCATCCATCCATCCATTTATTCATTTATTTATTCAACAAATAGTTCCTAAGCAACTAATTCATGCCCAGGACTCTGACAGGCATCTAGAATATAACTGTGAGTAAGACCCTGCACCACCTTCCTGGAGTTCACTTTCTTAAACAGAGAATAAAGAATTATGACACATAATAGCCTATCCCACTGGTTGTCCAAATGCTAACTGCTTAATTTTCTTTTATTCATAAATGAAGTTATGACTAGTGGGGAAAAAGAGTGCTATTTTCTTCCCTCTGTAACTTTGTCTTTCTAAATTTTATTTTAGCAACCTGAAAGGGACAAATTGGCTGAAGAAAGAGAAAATTCTAAGTCTTTAACAGACCGTGACAAAAATAGTGCTAAATAATTATTTCTAAGAAAATGAAATTACTTTTTTTATCACCATACCTTGAATGGCTTTCTCAATTGTCCCCTGTAAGTCTGTAATAGCGCTAGCTGCAGAGTGCACTATTCCTGACAATAGACAATACAACTGAAAAAATTAGTCTCCTGTGTTCAAAATAACACTCTCATAACAATGGGAAATTTGTGCCTGCTCTCTCTAGACCTTTGCTGTGCAGAATACCAGTGCAGGCTAATTATATGAGCTAGCTGAAAATTGTGTGCATAATGGAAAGGCAACCCCCTAAAGAACTGCACAGAAAAGGTCTTACCATCAAATGCAAAACAACAGGGGAAAAAAACCACAAAAAAACACGAGAGCAAACAGAAGAGCATGCACTGGGGCATCCTCATTAGCATACTGCAGTGAACTAGTGCTACGGATGCACACCAAAGACTTGCAAAACTCTCTGGCATCATAAAGACACCTTCTGTGATGACAGAATGTCCCCCCGTACCGATTCAATGCTTGGCCACAGTGTACAGATATTGATCATCCTTTTGTTGAAAATTATTGTCACTTTGGGGAGCCAAAGTTGTAAATGTCAGTGAGAGAGCTGGACAGAGTCACAGGCAAGGGCCATATGTTATCAGAACATTACCATCAATGTGCAAATCACGCACACTGGCCAAGGAGCAGCTGGGTCTCCCCAGGCTATGCTGGAGCAAAGATCAATTTCTCCTAGTTCCACTTTTCTCGTGTCTTCATGCTATATGCTTGATCTGTGAAAGGCAGTGCAGCTTAGAATAAAGTCCTTTGGGAAAAGTTAAACAGAGCCTTGTAATACCCTCACACCCCACAAACAACAAACAAAGTGACAGGTCCAACATGACCAAACAGATGTGACGTGCCATGTATAATGCAAGAGCTACTTTACTCTGCGAAGGGAGGAGCATTTACACAAGTGTTCCAGCCAATCTATAGTAAGCTGGAGTCTTTTCAGGAACCCTGGCCAGCTCAAATCATATCATTCAGGGCCTTAAAGAAGGGGCTGTGCCTAAAAGTGTGGGCAGCCCTTAAGGCTTGTGTCTAGATGGCCCCCACAAAGCCTCATGTGGTTATAGGTGAGGCTTTTTCAGAGGTGGCTGGATCTAGAGTGTGTGCTGGAATTGATTTATGATACAGTGTTAGGATCAAGGGCTTTAGGACTAAGGGTGTGACTGCTGCCTGCTCTACATAGTCTGGATAAGATAAAAGGTGCAGAAAGACGCTGTTAAGGTCTCTTGTTGCTTTTGTTACCTTGTGGATGCCATGAGCTGTTTTCCTCTGCATTGCCCTCTGCCAAGCCACCCTGCCTTGGAGCCAGCCGATTATGGACTAAAACCTCTACAAACTGTGAGCCCAATAAACCTTTCCCCCTTTAACTTTGGGTGTCAGGTATTTAACTCAGCAACAAGAAAAGTAACTAAGACAGCAGCCTAACTTATCCCTAAATGGAAGCATCCAGTGGGAAAAGAATGGCATAGGAAGAACGCAAGGAGGAGGGAGTAGGAAACCTAATACATGCCATGGTCTTAACCCCAATGACCCAGCCCCTTCTGCAGATGCAGGTGACCCACAGCACCACCATGAGGAGGGAGCCTTCCTCCCTCACACTTTTGTACAAAGGGATATTTTTCTAGTCATCCTCCTGTTCACACCTGATGATATCCAAAGGAAAAAAATTGATGGCAAGAGTACCAGAGCCCATTGCCAACATCTGCACAAGTCAACTTTCTGGACGAGCACAGACCAGCCTGTGGGGGGAGGGCAGCAAGCACATCGGGTATGGGCCCAGTGCAACCGGTTCTCCTAGCATGCTGAGGGCTCAACACTTGGAATTTAGGAAAAACAAAACAAAACTTTTAATAGGGCTATCCTTTGATAAATGGAGCAACATCAAGGATGAGATTGTCAAACTGGATTAGCTCATGGCACTACTCATGCTCAATATTAAGCTTTCTAATAATGTCAAGGATCTGGGCAATCAAGAGGCTCCAATAAACCAAGGAGAGGTCAGCAGCATCAAGGTTGATGCCTGGGTTCAATCTAACCACACTGCCCTAGTCCAGAACAGTAGGTGAGGTCTCTAAGTCAGGCCTGTGGGATTCATCACAGAGCAGAAATATTTAAATTATGAAACGTTTTCCTTTTATTCTCATGTACCCTTCTCAAGGGTGACCTGCCTTCTCCATCCCAGGTGCCACTTCCTATGGGTGACACTTCAGCCAGGGAGCAGCTTGCTAGGGACAGTCCATGGGTCCAAGGTGTCTTCCTGCAAGCAGAAGTCATAAGGCTATTTACTCAGAGGTTCCAGTGAATAGCAGGACAGACCGGGCTAATGACCTTGGTTTCTCTTCCCCGGGGTCAACCTGCCACAATCCCAGGGAAGAGAGTGAATGGACTACAGGTGGTTTCTTTAATGCCTTCCTCTCACAGTACTATTTTTAAAATTAAAAGAAGAAAAGAGGAAGAGGGACGTTTGTGCGTGTGTGTTTGTGTCAGAGAGAAAGAGAGACAAGAGACAGACCAAGAGAAAGGGAGAGAAGAGAGAGTCAGAAAGACAGATGGGGAAATATTGATTATTGGGAAGAGAGAAATATAGAGGGAAAAAGGAAAAATATGGAGAAAAATACAGAAGACCACTGAGTCTTCCTCCAATATGCCCGGTATGAGGAATTTAGCTATTACCTCTCACCTGACCAGTCTTCTAACTCTGTCAGCCAAGCACACAGCAAAATGAAACTTGGATTACCTCCTTGCAGGGAGATTATAGGCATAAGCACATGCCCTGGCCCACACACACACTTCATCCAGCACTGTTACACTGGGCCCTTCCAGCTACAATCTACACAGCTCTCTTCACTTTGGAATCTCAGGCCCCTGTGCCTCTTCTCATACGAAGCATGGAACTTTTGTATTTCCTTCTACCCAGTCCGAAGAAGAGGATGGAATGGCCTCACTAGAATACAGGATTATAAGTAGACGTGGGTGAGTCACGGGAGACGCAGAGCTGGGACTGCAGGTTAATCCTTAACCTGAAACAATAACCAAAATTTTGTACAGAGAGATATTTTTCTGGGATGGGGTCCAGAATGCATACTGGAGTCTCAAGAGAAGTGAAGGTCTTTAAGAGCATAGCCAGTACAACTACACTATGTTTTAAATAAATACAGACCTAGGGAGAGATAAGTTGAGCCCTTTTGCCAGAGTACGACCGTGATCAGCACCGTGGGACCCACCATCCTTACTCCTTCTAGACAGGAGAATTTCAAAATCCTACGCCAAGCTGGAGAGTGAGCACAGACTCACTTCGCAAATGACTGCAAAGGTGCTATGGAGAACTTCAATACAAAATGCTTACTTTCAAATTAAATTAAATGTGAAGAGTGGGACTTACCCTTTCGTTTTGTTGGATAAAGACGTAATGTCATACTGTAGATTTTTGCATTTCTCTGTCAGTTGGAGTGACTTCTCATTCAGATATGTGCTGTTTCATGAAAGAGATAAAAAAAGGACTGATTTAAAATGAAAGCCTATAAGATACTGTTCACCAACATCAGATTTAATTGATTAGGTGTGTCCAAATGAAGTCTGATTTTCATTCCAGTATTGGATTTCTCCATGGAAAAGGAAATTGGTATTTTCAGCCCTGAAGGTTCTAAATTTAAAAAAAGAAAAGAAGTTTACACTATCAAGGCAAACTAAAAAGAAATCTATGTTGGATGCATTCTGCTTCCACATTTTCATAGTTGAGGTTGGTATTTAAAACGAACAGGTTGCTGAATAGTTTTAACCACTGTGCATAGAAATACCTTTATTTTTAAAAGATGCTAACTCTGTCAAGAAGCATCCAGACTCAGGACATTAATAGTTCTTCCCATAAAGAACACAGATAAAGCTGGCCTTTATCATAATAGCTGTGATATAAGGGACCTGGTACTGTTGCTTTACGAACTTGGAAAATTGGAGGTTTAATAAAACCAAACAAAAAAGCAGGTGAAAGAGATAGGTGATAGAGTCACCGATACAACTGGCCTTGTGGACACAGGAGTCTTATTTAACTGCATATTTAATATATTTCCGCATCTCTAAAGTACAGATAATAGTTCCCACCTCTGAGCATCATTATTGTGACACATGTATGTTGTACAAAACATCTTAAAGCATCTATTACCGTGCCTCAAACATGTTAAGTACTCAAAAACTGACTATCACTTCCCTTACACTTCAAAAAGATGTGCACAACCATCTTATGGTTAATCCATTTACTTAGGCACTCTAATGGAATTTGTTGGAAATTGAATGTGAGACAGAAGACATTTAGGATGGGGAGACAAATAAAATGGACATGGTCCCTTTCCCTAGTGGAGCCTGCCATGTGGTTAGAGAGCAAGACACTTACCAAGCCACTAAACACACAAATGCAGGGACATGAACTGTGGTTGGTACAGCTGAAATAGGGTGAGTGGCAGGAAAGGCAGGAACAGGAGGCGGGTCCCAACGGGGCATCTGAGGGAGTGTAATTCAGGTGAAAATCCCAAGGACGAGCCGAGCAATGTAGGACAACTTTGGAAAGTCAATGATGTTGCTGGGGAATGTTCCAGATTGAGGAGACAGTACGTAAAAAGACCTCAGAATGGGGCAGCTTGGACTGTTTGAGGAACTGCAGGAAGGTGTCAAGACCAGTGGAGAAAGAGCTGTGGATTACTTGGCAAGAAAAGCCAAGATCAAATGGCTCAGGCCTAGAAGGACACAATAAAGACTTTAGAATTTATCCTAAAAATAAGGGGAAGCAACAGGTTGGCAGAGAGGGGAATGACAGGCCTTGATGCATGTTTTAAATGGTTCACTAATACCACTATGCAGAGAACTGAATGGCGATGAGGCAAGAAAGGAAGCAGAAAAGTTAAGAAATTTGTGCAGGATTTCAGCAGAGAGGCGACAGCAGCTTGTTTTGCTATGTGGGATAGAATAGTGGTTTTCTGTAATGTGATAAGGAACAACGCCAACTTCTCAGTTTGCTGTAAAATTCTCAGCACTTGTATGGGTGGCCTTCTAGGGCAGCAGTACCCTATGCAGCTTGGGGATTGTGACAGGTAACTTTACATCCACTTGACTGGACTAAGAGGTGCCCAGGTATCCTGCAAAACATGATTTCCTGGTGTGCCTGTGAACAAGTTTCTGAACGTAATCAGCATCTGAGTGGGTGGACTGAGGAAAGAAGTCCCACACGCCTCAGTTGGGTGGGTATCTTGCAGGGGATCAGGGGTCAGAGGAGAACAATAGCAAAAGGAAGCAAGGATGAATCCCCTCTCTCTACTGGAGGAAGAATGAATGCACCCATCTCCTCCTGCCCTTGGACATTGGTGCTCCTGATTTTTAGACTCAGACTCATTTTTGGGAGACTGGGATCCCCACCAATTGCCCCCACCTCCAACCTCAGGTCTTTGGACTTGGACTGGGTTATACCAACAACTTTCCTTGGTCTTGAGTTTACAGATAACAGATTATGGGACATCTCTGCCTCCATAGTTAATCACATGAGCCAATCCATCATCATAATTCTTTCTATGCAACTATATGTGACCTGTTGGTTCCATTTCTCTGAAGAACCCTGGCTAATACAGGGACCCAAATGGCTCCAGTCTGGTCATATTTTCAGTTCAGCAACTGGCTTCCAGAATTGCTGAGGAAGGAGTGCAAAGTACTGGAAAACCTGACCCTGTGTGTGAATGTTTTCACACAGGTGTAAGAAGTGTCACCAGCCTAAATCAGTTACACCCAATTGAAAGGGGGAAAAGAGCAATGAACAACCTTCCCTAATTCCCAGAGATGAGCTCTGGGTACAGGTAATGTGACAAGAAGCAACACCAAACTCATTTTCTTCACGAAAGAAAGGTTTTGCTTTTCTTTTTCATAGAATGCCCACTGGAGACTATGCCTCACCCATGCCCATAAGCAAGATGAGTGGGAATATTTGAGATCTATTCCAGATAAAAGACAGAGAGTATTTCATAAAACACTGGCTATGGGAGGACAGGGAGGTGTAAAAGAAAAGATATAAACAAGACAGATTCATAATTAATTCTCCAATATTTCTCAGAAATGTTTTCTAAAAATACTGGGTTCAGAGTATCTCTAGGCTCAGAAAATCCCTCTTAATCCTGATATGATTTCTTTCCATGCCACTTCTGGCCCCTCTCTCGCCTGTCTATATGCTCACCTTGTGTGCTTTCTGAATGTATGATCATACTTGCCAATGATTTGTTTATTTCTAATTTGCCATGTGTTTTATTCAGGCAGCACCATTAATGAAGTGAATTACCAAGCTAGCAATGCTTTGAATTATGATGGCATTGCAATATTGAATTGTGAAGCTGTGACAACCAGGTACCAACAGAATTGTGTCTCATGCACCTTTTCTTAGATTGGAGAGTTATCTTTCTTAATAAAAACTCAGAATCGGTTTTCCCAACTAAAAATCACAGAGGGTGAATGGAAAGCAAATGAGTGTACCTGGGGTAAAAGTAGAGGTGGCAGAATGAGGGCAGGAGAGAAAGTGGGGTACCGAAAAGTCCAGATTTGGGCAAGAGGGAAGTCAGCCTTAAATCTAGGCTCTACTCTGACCTTAACCTTCTGCTTAAAGGTTTCTTTTAATTCCTTCTCACTAAAGTAGTTAAAGAAGTTGAACAAGATGTGTAAAAGAAAAAACAAAAACAAAAACAAAACACCTGACACAGGAATCAATCAATAAATGCTGTGTTCTTACTACCCTACATCATTACTGTATTCTTTTCCCAAGCCAGTCACTGTCATTATTGTTGGGACTGGAAATCTCTCCCACCTATAGGAAGTCACTCAAAAGCAAAAGCGACAGGGAGGCTCTTTCGGTCCACTTTGCTTTTATATGTGCCTTGCCTGTCCCTTTTCATTCAAAACCTTCAGAGTTTTCTTACTTTTCATCTAAAATTATTCCAACTTGTTCCAGAAATAGGAAAAAAGGAAGGCTTCTCAGTTCTGACTTGAGAGAAAGCAGGACCCGTGTACAGATCCTGTTTGAGAGGTTGGCCCACATTGCAGAGGAGAGGTTAGCGTGAGCCCACCTTAACTTCCTATGTGGGGACATCTCTCAGACAAGTCAGAGGACAGAGAGAAACTGATCAAGATGAAAGTGGGAAGTCCAAAGAGTCAGACTCACAGACAAAACATCACAACAAGATGCGGTAGGCAGATTTGGAGCCCCAGGAAAGGTAGCTGAGGGTCAAGTTAGAATGGCCCATCCAAAACTGCTGGATTCCAGGGATATAGCTCAGTGGCACAGTGCTTGCCTGGCAAGCACAAGGTCGTGAGTTCGATTCCCAGTAAAAAAAAAAAAAAAAAAAAAAAAAAGATCAGGATGTCAGGGAGAACAAGAAAGAGTCCAAAATATTAGTCACAGAGGTGAAGCATGTCATGTGGGACAGCTGCAGAGTCCAATCTCAGGCAGAAACCAAGATACAACTGGGGAGAAACCCACTGAAAACTCACTCAGATTGGTGGGCTAAGGAGCCGGGTGTAGAAAAAGAAACAGAATAGGACTCAAGCATTCTGCAAGGCACAGTCTAAGTAACCAAGGATCTGGGGAAGGACTCCGCCAGCTCAAAGAATTCTGTCTCTATCAAATCTAAGACTTCCTTAACATTTTAATTTCATCCCAATTTTCTGGCCAAAGCACTTCTTAAACACTTCTTACCACAATTAGCTGGAAAAACGAACAGGATCTAGTCGTCTACAAACTGTCAACCTTACACTAAGAGTCATAAAAGGGATTGTCCTCTCTAGGAGGAGAACAGGGGTTCTCCTCCTAGAGATCTGCTACAACTTGTAGACGAAGCACTGGAAGCACCTAGGCAGTCAGCTGAAATGGCTCTCACCGCTCTGCCAAAGCTTCTGTAGTTGCTCCATGGTAAGATCACAACCTTGGCCCACATGTCGCCATGCAAGCTTGCTCCTTTCCCCCTTTGTGGCATTTGTCACATCTGGCCAACACCCTCAACTCCCTGCTCCACTGACATTCTCCGGCATCTACCTTGCAAATATGCAACAGTAAAGTGATATAGCTCCTGGCATAAGACATTGCTAGAGCTGACCCTGGTCTGGCAGAACAAAAAAAATTGTACAGGCCCTTGGGAAGGCTGCTGCCTTGATAATCCATGGGGTCCAATTTGCTACGCCTTTTGTACTCCTTGACATTTCTATTACCAGTCCCAGCTCCCTCAATGACTACTCCAGGCATTCAGTTCTCCCGCTGTCTTTGCCACTCTCTGCCCTCCTAACAGCTCATTTAATCACGCTTCCTATTTCACAGAAACACAACGCTGCTGGGTGTGAATCAATCTATAGCTGTCAATCATCCTGCCCTTGCATCTCAGAGGAAGAAGGGACTCCTCTCTCTCAGAAGGATAATCCACCTGCCATGCGTCCCTCCCTGTCTCCTCTGAGATCAGG